TACTGTAGTCTGTGTTTTCCATAAGCCTTCAGAAAATCAACTGTTTCAAGGGCTTACTGCTGGACTAATTTCACAGTTGTGCTGCAAAATTGGGAAGGTAAGCGGCCCAGCAGAAGATACAGTAGCCAAAACTCTTATCTCAAGACCCATTGCTTGAAGAATAGCATCAACTTCCCTTAGTCAATAATGAGTCTTATTTATAAATTCAGATACAATACAGAAAGGAAGCTTGTTGCACTGTTGTGGAGATCAAAGTTTCAATGCGTTTTTTTCTCCTTCTCCTGTTTAAAGAACTGAAGTCAGTTTGCATGTATCTGTATCCCTCCCCTTATTGCTGAGCCCAGCACAGTTGATAGCCTTGGGCATTTTTTTAAAGCTGTTTCTAAAGATAAACATTTTGCAAAAATTCCCAGAATGCAAGTGCTCAACTTAATTTACCCAGAGCTGTACTGTTTGTTAGCAGGCTGTTCCTTTATAGGGGGTTCTAAGTTCCAATTTGAGGTATCATAAATTAATATATAATGAGAAACTTCTTCTATGGTCAAGGGTGGACTCCCTGCCTTACTGAGGTCTGTACAAACAAAACCTCTATTGATTTAGTTCAGTAACATTCAGAGGTTAATCCCAAATCTCCTGCTCCTTTTTTAAGAACCATTCTATGACTGAAAAAAATATGAATAAAATTCCATACACTAATCAAAACAATCCCCAAAGTCCCTGGGCACACTCACATTCTTTAATCTTCACAACAGCTTTAAAAAGTTGATTGTCCTTAATTTTTCAACAGCACTTTGAGAAGCAGAGAGGATATGGTTTTTTGTCAATGTGCAGAATTCAGTCTGTCTTTTCTCCCAGGTTATGCTTTGTGATCTAAAATAGACAACACCTGTGTTCCTCACCGTCTACTTGGCTACAGCAGGTAACTGCTCAGCTGCATGTGTTGTGAAGACAGCTGCCAGCTAGGTGATTTCTTCTTCTCATGCAAACAGTAGACGTCTTTTCACTAGACATGCTAGGATGCTTTGGTCATATGTAATATTAGGGAGAAGGAGAAAGCATACAGTGTGTGTATATATAGTCTATATAGTATATGCATATATAGTATATACATGTAGTACGTATATATAAATACATAGGGGTTTTTAACAGACTGTAACACCCCCCCCCCTCACTCCGAGTCTTACGTGTGTTTTCTTCCACAGCAGCAAAGGGCTAATCAGGAGAGGAAATAGAAGCTGATTACCCCACCCACCTCCGAAGCCTCTGCTAAAGCCATTTATCATACTGTTTCTCACCCTTCTTGGGTTGGCAACTTTATAGGAGGACTCATTTTTGCAACATTTTTGCACGTATAAAAAAATAATGGTAAAATAACCCCAAAAGTAACAGTAATACTTGTCTTAAGCACGGAGATGGCTAGGTATGGTACAGATACATGGGAGTCCCCCGGACAGCGAGGCTGTTAGATCTAGCTGTGGGACTGAAAAAGATCAACACGACCAGAAATGTTGTAAGTATTTCAGAGCTAAATTTAGGGGAGTTCATGGTCAGCTCTTATTGCTGCAGTGTGTTAAGGCTGTATTTCCTGAATATTGGAAACATTTGTATACTTTTCCCTTAATGCTGCAGAAGTGTTTTGGTGAATTTAAAGTGGGTTTAATTCTGTGAAAGATAGGTACTGGTGTCAGTTTTTTTAATATTTATATTTTTTTTAAATCAAAATCTGCATCTTATTACATTGAAAGAGATAAGTAGATGGACAGAAACAGTGTAAAAATGAATCTAAGAACTTTATTTGCCCGGTCAATGAAAGTTTAGTTAATTTTTTGGTCTTTAAACTGTATTGGAATGAGAACACTTCTGAGATGGGATGTATTTTACTTGTCAACCACAAACATTTTCATGTGAAACAAAAAATAGGAAGGAAAAAATGCAACATAGACATCGAATACACAAACATTATTATGTAACAATGAAAAATAAAGATCAAATGATTTATAGTAAAATTTCATGGTTTAGGAAGTGTTTACAGATCATTAATTAAAAGAAGGTTGGATATAACCTGAATTTAGTTCCACAGACTTGACTTATCTGAGGGCTCTACTGTGAAACCTGAGTTTTCATATGGCATTGAGAAAACATACAGTTATGAGTCTCCAGATGTATTAGCTTAAATAGCAGTACACACAGTAATACCAGTAATTCCTAATATCACAGGCAGCAGTAACCTGGTTAATAACAATTCAGGGGACTTGAATGGTCACCAATTCTGAACTGTAAGTCTTGAGATATTAACTCTAGTTAATATCCCAGTATTTTAAAAAATATCTTTTATTAAAGTAAAGATAGCTTAATATCTTGGGATACTAAATTCAGTGCCTCCAGTCTTAGAGGGTTTCATGGTTTGGAGAGAGGTCCTCTGTAAAGACAACCTGTTCTCCCAAGGCCAGTCAGTACAACTGAACTTCCCAGGACACTACTTCAGTATATAACACCATGCAAGTAAGCGTAGCCTATAGAGGCCTTCCTAGCCATTAATTAGAGACTTCAGTCCTGCAGAAAATCTCAAATTCCACTTTGACAACACTCAGATTTTACAGAGTACAGATAATACTATTCATATTAAATTTCTACATAGCCAACTATTTTATATTTTCTTTTAAACTCAAGCACTTTTTACTGCTAAGTGTATGTCCCCTCAGGACTTGAGAATGATAACTCATGTCTGAAGCAATTTTTCCTGGCCCTTGCTGGAGGAGAGTAAAATAATACCATTTTTGCTTATTAGTATTGTTTTCCACCATTCTCCTGAGCCTTGTCACAGTTAACACCCACCACCCAATGCTTTTTGAATGGCTTCTTCCCAAACCCCTGCCCCTCTTTCTACCTCCAGCTGAAGAGCATTTCAGAGACAGGAATCAGAGAAGGAAAGGTGGCAGGCAGCCTTGGTGGGACCAGCTCCAGCACCAGAGCACTCTTACACTTCTTACTGAAATCAAAAGGAGAACTGAGGGTTGAATTTTGAAGGATCAACATCTTACGGGGACACGGCTGTTGTAGTGTTGTCAGGCAGATGTGATATTGTAGTCCTTAATATTTATTGCTATAATGAAAGCCTGGAGAATTCTTTTCTCAGTTTTATGTTGGGGGATTGAGATGCTTTGTGTGTAGATTGGCAAATTTCTCTGCTTCCAAGTCCTTTATGCAGACACTGAAAACCTAACTTGCAGCAGTGCACAGGTACTATCATTTTGATGGGCATGGTTTGACTGGATTTCACATTTGTCCCATTTAATAGTTGACCTGTGATGGTCCCATAAATATTTCTGAAATAATCTCTCAAATGTATGCCAATTATCAGCAGGTTCACTGGCAGAATTGCAATAAACAGGTCTTAATGGCCCAGTAGCTTTCTAATCCAGGTTCAATAAACAATCCCAAACCCAAACCATTACTCTGAAGGCATGTTTATTCTCTAAACGAGATTGCAACTGAAAACCTTCATATTTAAGCATATTAATTGTAGGACTCTGTTGCCAACAGAATGAAGCAGGCTCATTCCAAGCATTAGCTGCTGTAATTAAGACATCTACCGAAAACAGTTCTTAACATTGTAATTGTAAACTGTGCAATAGTAATAAAACAAAAATCTTAGCTGGAACCAAAAACGTTCATTATCTGAAGCCAGAAATTAAGCTTCAGTTGCATTCTTTTGCATAGTAGGTTATCAGATGTCTTTCAGATAAAAGCTGATTGCCTTAACACAACTAAAGAACAAATTTATTCTGACTGTATTTAAATCTATGCTTAAACATGACTCTGGTTTGATGGAACAACTTTTCATCTCATTTAGACGCTTCTTGTTGCATCATGTAGTGAAAAATGTAATGAATGCATAAGAACATACAACCTGACCTATTTGTTATTTAAAAAGGGGGGATACAAAATAAAATTTAAAAAAATTGCTTGGGAAAATTAAAAAGTTCAAGGCCAAACTAGGTAGAATAAACAGTAAAAAAAATTTTTTTTTTAGATAGTTCACATATGAAGGCCCATTTCCTGCATTAATTTACTTAGGTAAAAAGCTTGCCATACTCTTAATTCAAACGTTACAGCTAGAAACTTAAAAAAACCAACCAAACAAACAAAAAAACCCTCACAAATTTGTGAGCACATAAATAACAGTAAATCTCAGCCAAGTGAAGCCCATGGTTACCATAGGCCCCATTCGGTTTTGGTTGTGGTTTTTGGGTGGTTTTTTTTGTTTTGTAGTGGTGATGATTTTTTTTTTTTTAAATCTTTTTGCTGTCTGTGATATTGCCAGTCTTCTGTATTGGAAAATGGTGGTCTTGTCTTTCAGGAATTTTTCTTGATTTGGGAACCTTTATTAGGCCAGAATATGACTTGTCAGCCAGTGTCTGAATTTAGAGTTTGGGAGGTCCATAAAGACTGTACAAACACAAATACATCTGTAATTAATGCTTAAAGGACTTACTCATTTTTAAGATCCAGACACGTGGAACAACTTATTTCACATTAAAATTCACTGTGCACGGCGACTCGTTAACTTTTTCACAATCTATTTTAATTCTGCCTGCTGAAGTATTGCTTAGACTTCCTGATTTCAAAATCTGCCAGGAACTTGAATGGCCTTTCTGGAAAAGTTGCCTCAGAAGGACAGCGGTAACCACACACCGCTGCTTTTTTTGCCCTTTTTCTTTCGGAGAGGGGATGTTTTTACCACGTTTCAGCCCCGTTGGGTGCATGGCTGGGGGGAACACGGGCAGTTTTTCAGTCAATGGAGGAGCACTCGCGGTCTCGCCGCCTCAGGCGGCGTTTGAGGCGGCGAGACCGCGAGTGCTCCATATACAAAACCCCCGTTTTTTGTTTACCGCCCGGCGGCGGGGCCTGTGTGGCGCAGGGTGGGGGGGGCGCGTTGCTGAGGCGATCCCCACCGCCGCGATGGCGACGGCGGCCCCTCATCCCCCACTCTCTCCCCCCTAGCTTCTCCTCCTCTCCGCACTCGCACCCGTTATCAGCCCCCCGACCCCGTCAGGGAACCGAACCACCGCGCTCAACCCCTCACCGGGGCGGGTAAAACGGCAGGCCTCAGGCGGCAGGACCGCGCCATCGGGCGGCAACCAATAGCGTGCGGCCACCCACGATTCAAACGGCGCGTTGTGGCCAATGGGCGCCGTTGGCGGGCGGGAAGGGGCGGGGTGAGGGGGCGGACCGTTGCGCGGCTGTAACCGTCGCTCAGGGCGGTTGTTCCCCTCAGCCGAGAAACGCCGCGCTCGGGCCCGGCTCCCGCCGCTCCGCGGAAGCGCCTCCTGCCCGGCCCGGTGGGGGCTGGCGCCAGGTAAGGGAATGGCGGCACCGGGGCAGGCGCTGGGCCGGGACAACCCCCGCCCTCCGCGGCCTTCCCGGGGGGGAAGCGCTCCGGCCAATCGCCGCCACCGCCTCTCTCCGCCCCCAAGCGCGGGCGTCGGGCCGCGGCCCCGCTCAGGTCTCTCTCTCTCCCGGTGGGCGGACGAGCGGCGCCGTTTTCCGCCGCCCGGACCGTTCGCTTGGGTCCGGGCGGTAAGGGGAGGGGGGGGGAATTGTGTGTCTTGGGCTTTCCCTCGCTTTGTTCGGGATGCCGCCGTTTCCCTCCGCAGCGCTCCCGCGACGCCGGGCCCGGCGCGGGGAAAGGCCGCGACCACCCGGTGTGGCGGGGGAGCGCCGTGGGAGACGCGTAGAGAGGCGGCCTGGCCTGGCGCGGCCCCTCCCTTCCCCCCACCCCCCGTACGGCGGAGGCCCCGCGCCAGGCCTGGGCCGGGAGTGCGGTCGGGGCGGGGCCGCGGAGCGGGGCCGAGGGGCCGGGCCTTCCCCCCTCCCCCGGCACGTGGGTCCCTTCCTGTCAACACCGCGCCTTCCGCGGCCTTCACCCCGCCGCCCTGCCGGGGGCGGGGGGGGGGGAGTTCAAGTTCCTGACGCTTTCCCTCCGCTTTCAGTGCTTCCGGTGAAAAGCCCTTTTAAAGGGAAAAAAACTCGTTTCTCTGCCTGAGGATCGAGAGTTGTGTTTGGTTGGTTTGGTTTTTTTTTACCTTGAGGCTTTTTTGCGCTTGTTTTTGGCGGTGAAGCTAATTCGGCTGTTCAGTCGAGCCAAGCTTGAGCAGTGGTAGATGCCCCCACCATTATGGGTGTTAAAGAGCTAGAAATGTGGAATGAGTAATGGTGATCCTGAAAAGGTCCTGCACAGCTCGGTCTCTTTGGTGAATTTGGCAGTAATTTTTGTAATTTGGTAGTAATTTGGTAGAATTTCTGTGTAGGAACCTCTGTCTTGTTAGCCTTGACTGTCAGTGTTTTCTTTATTTTCTTGCATTTAGCTGGCTCTCTCCTCTGACATACACAACATTATCTACCAGTGGTGAGATGTCAGAATTAGTATATAGAAGAGGGATACGTATGAACTTAGCTCTTCCAAGAGGGAAAATTTTGTTTAGTGTTTTTTTTTAGAATTCATTTCTTAAAACTGTGCACCCAACTTCTGGTGATATGGTATGATCTTCTAGTGACTACAAGCTAGCAGTCTTTTTCTTCTGATTTTCTTGACAGGAGTGAAATATTTTTCCACATATCTAGTGAGAGGGTCGTCAAGAAAGACCAGAAATGGATGTATGGGGCAATATGTCTCTCTGCCATGTTTCTCTTTAATTGTTTTGCTGTTGGTTGAGTCAGCAGTAACTTTTCTTCTTGACCAACTTTTAAGCTCCAGGGAGTTTTGCATTAATTGTCTTGGCTTGGTATAGGATACAAAATGCTTTTCAGCCATTCCCTTAGTCTGGGTTACTAAAGGAAAGTCAGTGGTGCAGAAAACACAAATTTCTTATTGGGAGTAAGCGAATATACTTGCAATCGAGTATCTGTACAGTACAGGATTCATTGTATGAAATAATATTCTTTTGAGATCACTTGGATATATTTTGAAGCCCTGCGAATTAAAAAGTTGGCATAGGACTACTGTGAATATTAGGCTGATGCCAGCTGGTACCCTGAAAATTATCAGGGGTGTGTGTAGAGCTTGAAAGAGCAGTAAATTCAAAATATAATTTCTAAACTGTATTTTTTTTTAAAGGCTTCCTATCTTTATTTTTCTTGATGCCAGTAATGGTTTTTGTTATCTGAACAGATGAAGGCCGCCTTTAAAAGGTGTAGCTTTTTTGAAGTGGGATATATGTAATGAGGATCGCAAACCTCCCTCACATGAGGTGCAGGGGTGCAGAACAAGGTGGTAATTTTTGATAGGGCAGGAAGTAATATTTACTTTTTTAGTCTTTAATGTTCAATGTCGTTATTAAGCTTTAATATTTAAGGAAAAAATGGAAAAATAAGTAGGTCTTTCCATTAATAAGATTGTTCATTACTTTTGAATCACACGATAATATTTACACTTGCTGAAATTTATTTATTTTTCTGGAATTTTGTGTCATTGATACCCACCTCAGGCTGAATTACATAGCATTGATTTAGCTTCAGGTCCTTCAACTCCTTTTTCCAACTTCTTAAAACTAACTTCAGCTCCTTTTGAGAACAAGGTTGGAGGATGGGAAGGTCCTTCTGCCTTTAAAAAGAATCAAATAATCAGGTTACCTTTTCTTTGGGCTGTCTTCATGTGTGCGTACAAAAATGCTGGGTTTTGAAGTTTGGCAGAAAATTGCATTTTATTATCCCTATGAAATTGTATCTGAATTTTGAAGTGGTTGTTATAAACTGTAAAAATCAGTTTACATATCATTAGTAACAACTTTGTGAAAAATTGTTTCCCTTTCTCAAAAAGGACTTAAACTCCAAAGATTCTGTTTTTCATAATTTTGTCCTAGGATCTGGCAGCTTTGTCCTGGTCAGGCTCTGAGTTTACAGATGATGCCTGAGGTGTTCCAGGTCAAGAGAAGAAACAGTTGGCTGGAGTGTAGGAAGTACAACAGCAAAGAGGAAATGAAGTTGTAGATCAGGTTATGACATCTGGTGAAAGCTATGACTGGACTTGGTGGAGGACCGGTGTTTAGACTAGTTATGGAAGAGGAGGAAGAAGCTGGAACTGTGCGAGAGACTGGGGAAAGAGCAGTAGTAGACATGGATCTTCTAAAGAACTGTCTCTTGGGTGAGAAAACTGGACAAGGAGACAGAGATGAGGATTGAGATCAGATCTTGAGCCCAGAGGTGGCGAAGAGGAACTGGAACTAGTTTGGTGAACAAGGGCAGAAAAGGCAGAAAACCCCCAAGGAATTAAAGGGGGGTAAGGAGAGAATGAAGAAGAATTTGAAATGAAAATACAGAAATTGTATTTCACGGAGTCATAAGAAACAAGGCTATGAACTTGAGGGGTTTAAACTGGCATAAACAAAGTCGGAGGAGTGGGAATTCAGCAAGAATAAGAAAGTAACAAAGAGACTGGGACAAGAAACACTAGGTAGAAGACAGATGAGCTTGGAAGAGTGTGTGCCTACAGGCATAGACTAGAACTCTGATAATTTTTCTAACTGGCAAATATCAGTGAAACCAAATGATAAAACTTATTCTTTTTGCTCTTTCAAATATTGTACAGCGAAGGAGATGGCCAGATGTTTCTGTTTTGAAGCAATCAGGAATATTAGCAGTAAAATCCACATGAGGGAATTTTGCTGAGTTTTTGGTTTCTTCTTTGGCTTGGAGAGCTACACAGGTGTAAAATCTAACAGCAGCAGCAGCAGCTTCAGGAAATGCCAGAGTGAAAGTCGATTGAAAAGCCTCACTTAGCCCCATCCCCCAATGTGTTTATGAAGGTCTGTGATTGCATATTAACGGTATTTTTTGCCAAAGAATCTAACTTTTCACTGCAAGTTAGTTGATGTGTAATGAATGAGTATCTGTTGTGGTTTAACCCCAGCCAGCAACTAAGCACCACGCAGCCGCTTACTCACTGCCCCCCACATCCAGTGGGATGGGGGAGAAAATCAGGAAAAGAAGTAAAACTCCTGGGTTGAGATAAGAACGGTTTAATAGAACAGAAAAGGAGAAACTAATAATGATAATGATAACACTAATAAAATGACAACAATAGTAATAAAAGGATTGAAATGTACAAATGATGCGCAGGGCAATTGCTCACCACCTGCTGACTGACACCCAGCCAGTCCCCGAGCGGCGATTCCCTGCCCCCCCCTTCCCAGTTCCTAAACTAGATGGGACGTCCCATGGTATGGAATACACTGTTGGCCAGTTTGGGTCAGGTGCCCTGGCTGGGCATGAGAAGCTGAAAAATCCTTGACTATAGTCTAAACACTACTGAGCAACAACTGAAAACATCAGTGTTATCAACATTCTTCACATACTGAACTCAAAACATAGCACTGTACCAGCTACTAGGAAGACAGTTAACTCTATCCCAGCTGAAACCAGGACAGTATCTAATTAAATACTTGTTTCCACCTCATTTTGTGTGGCTTCCCATCTTATTTATGACTAACAAGTTAAAATGCTTTGAAACAAAAACATTTGCTAGTTTGTTTGTCGTCCCGTCCCCCCCCATTCCAAGTTCCTATATTCATCATACAAATGGTGATGGTTCGTAAGTTAGTATGTATTTTACCTTAGACTTTTAAGATGCCCTCACTTTATATGTTGAGACCTGAGTCACAGAAGTTCAGGTTAAAAGTGCCTTCTGCTATGGAAACCTGTTTTCAGAAGGTAGTGACATAATACAAGGCACTTTTCAAAGAGTTATACAGGACTTTATATTTAAAAACATAACTTTCTTTAAGCTGCAGTTGTGGTTTTCCCAGCACACTGGTATAGTGGACCAAGGGTAGTGGTTTGGTGCAGACAGAGTGATAGAATTTAGTTTTTCAGGATATTGTGTGATTGCTCTGATGCCATACTTTGTTTTCCTGCAGGCTCCTGCAAAAGCAATTACGTGCCTTGTGCTAAATAGGTGGAAAAGAGAAAATACTCAACCCAGACAGGAGCCTAAATTCTGGTGTTTCCTACCTTTTGAGTGTTTGGCATAATAAATTGAAGAACGTGTGTAATGAGGCTGTGCGTATTGAATAGATTGTGGATGTTTTATTTTAGCGTTTAGAAATTACCACTTCAGTAATTTTTGTAGAAACATAGGAAAAGAGGGTTAGAGGACATCTAGATATCGTAATTTACTTTTTCCCCCTCTAGATAAGATCAACTGCATTATGTCATTTTGGTCAAAGATATGCTTTGCCTGGTTTTGATGGTCTCTGATGGTGGAGATAGTTGCATACTGGTCTAGATGTACTATGATATACAGTTAATACATTTGAACATTTTTTGGTAACATCTAACTTCAATCTTTGCTCTATTGTAAGACTACTTCTTTTGTCTACTATTAATTTGGAAAACAGATCATTGCTTTTTTTCTTATCGGGCAGCTTTTTGCCTATTTAAGGTGAAGACTTGTTTACTTTAAAGTTTCCCTCTTCCAGCCTAAATGATACAGAAAGAGAGTAGGGAAAAATTAAGCCTAATGTTTAGCTGTTGTATGTATTGATTTATTTCTTTTCTAGGGATTCCTTTTGGAAAATGCCAAACCGAAGGTTTGCTGATGGTGAGGTGGTGATGGGCCGTTGGCCAGGAAGTGTCCTGTACTATGAAGTACAAGTGACTAGTTATGATGATGTTTCTCATCTTTATACTGTGAAGTACAAAGATGGGACTGAACTTGCGTTGAAAGAAAGTGATATAAGGGTGAGTATACATCAGACAATTATCAGTATTTCTATGGAATTATATTGATTTTTGTGATGTAGATAAACATACAACTTATAATTGGACAGTTGCCTTGCAAATTTTCATTAACTGTCTTCAAGGAATTGGTGCTAAATAATAGCTCTTTCCTGTGTGACATGTCAAGTAGAAGTTCAGAATGCTGACCCTATGTTTAAAGAAGCGTGATTATTTCCAATATGTTGAAGAAACAGTGATACATTTGGAGGAGAACCAAGTCTGGTCACTCTGGGACTCTACAGCATGATTGTTCATTAAAAATTGGGTTTGGGTGGTTTATAAAGCTAGTAAACAGTGGGTTGATGCTAATTTGACTTTTTTCCACTTCTAAATAAGAAAATTCAAAAACAAATGCAAGCATGTAGTTAAGGATCACTGTAAATATAAGTAGTGCATACCCTTTAAGCACATGCTTAAAATGTCTGTGGATAGATTGTACTGGTTTAGGTCCCCAAAGGTTTCATAAGGTATTTTGCTCTGTTTGTGACAACTGGGGACTTTTGAAAAATGGTCATGTTGTATGTGTATGAGCACATTCCCTCCTCTTTACATATCTTTATTATTTTGTTTTCTGTTACTAAAAAAGGCCTTTAAAACTCCATGTACAAGTTTCAGTTTAAAATGTGATAATGCATGAGACAAAAAGCTATTTGAATGTTTGCTGTAATTGATTTTTAAGGCCTGCTCTGAAACCTGCAGAAGTTCAAAGGTAACTTGTGTGCCTTTATGTGAACTGTAGTTTCACTTTCTGGTGGTGGTGTACATGTCCTGTAACTGGCCTTTTCTTTTGGGACAAAATGTTTCTGCCTTGAGGTATACAGCTGTTTTCACTGCTTTAAGACTTTAACTTGTTTACTTCATGCTTGCAGGTTAGTAAACTCAAGCTGAGAAAATATGTCTCTTTGTCATAAAGCATTTGTGCCTTATAAAAGTTGTGTTGTGAAAATTTTACGTGGGAAAATTAGTATTGTAGACTTCACAGAGAAATAAAACTGAATACTTTTGGGGAAAACTTTATGAAATTAGTTATCACATCTAATTTAATGATTTAGCTGACGAGGTTTTTTAATGTTGATTTGAGCTGTGTTGCCTTAAACAGATCATTGCATCTTGATATGCCGAATGTATTAATAAAGCTAAGTAATTGAAATTATAGCCGTCTCTTAAGGCTTAATTAATTTACTTACGCAAAGGCTTAAGAGGTTGGTACGCTTAAGGGCTTAGTGCTCACATTGATAGCTTACTACACCTGTATCGTGATTTCTGTAGCTTTGACAGGAATCATCAGCAGTTGGACTTTGGACAGGATTGTTTGGGTATTACTAGCAAAATGAGTATACTGTAGTTGCTCTTTCTTAACAGCCCCTGTACACCATCAGTAAAGGAAATAAGAGACAATTCTGTAGAAGTAAATGCCAGAGTCCTCCGCATCACAAAAAAAAAAAAAGTTTCTAAAATTGTTCTTTGGAACATCTAAGATAAGGTCTTGCTTTCTTCCCCTCTTTCTTTTAGTCACAATCATCATTCAAGCACAGGAAGAGCCAGTCCTCTTCAAGTTCTCCCTCCAGAAGGAGTACTAGCAGATCTCGATCTAGATCTCCTGGTCGGCCAGCAAAAGGCAGGCGTCGTTCTTCTTCCCAAAGTAGAGAACATAAAGATGACAAAAAGAAGACCATTCAGGAAACCAACTTAGCTCTACTGGTATTAGTTTTTTTGTTTGTTTGTTCTTTGTGTGGGGGTTTGTTGGATTTAAAAAAAAAAATTGCTATTTGCAACAGATTTGTTTTATGCATACTGGGTTTATTATTGTAAAAGCCAGCTGTAGTTCATGTTCCCTGAACAACATAATTAGCTGCAAAAGTGTATCTCAGAACTGCCTTTTTTTCTTTGAAAATAGGCTTTCTAGCTTGCCGAGTTGTGAGGAAATTCTTGAAGTGTAAACTTAAGTTCCACTTGAATTTGGCAGTACAGTGAAGTTCTCAGAATTCAAACACAAATTATTTAATATTGAAGTCATTGTTAGCCATATGCTCCCACTTGTGAAATGGGGCAAAGGAAGATAGCCTACTTTTAAGATGTATTGGGCAATACATAGCAGGTAGGTATTAGAATTTGAAATAAAATGAGTTCTGTTTTTATATACAGTTCATTAAAATAGTAAAGGAAAACGTGAAGCTTCTGTGGGAGAATTGCTGCAGAATTCAAGTGTAGAATATATATATGGCCTTGCTCACTGATAATATTGCAGGACTGTTTTCATTATAAAAAGTATCTTCTAAGGATTTGTAAGTTTATCAAATACCTGGTTTTTAGATGAAATTTATCATGTTTATTCTTGGCCTTTCTGTGAAGGTTATACTGAGTACTAGAAATAGTTCTGGTGTTCTGTAAGTGAAGAACAGTAGAGGTGATGTTTCTCCATTAAGAGGCAAACAGCATTTCTTCTGCCTCTTGTGCCGTTGGGATAGCTTCAGGTGATACTTGTCTGAGACAGAGTCCCTTGAATTGGAAATGCCTTCTGCTGATCTATTGAAAACAGATAGGTTTTAGTTTCAACTAAACTAAACCAGACCAATCTAAACTAAGTAGATAGGTTCAGTTTAGTAAATTGCTACTACTAAAAGCATTCTTTGGCACTGCAGTTGCTGTGGTTTTTGTTTTGCAGTGAACTACTTTGAGCTGTGTGACCCAGTGCATAGCAAGTGGAGCATATGTTCGTTTTAAGTAGTTTGTAGCCACACTTCACTTTGGACGAAAAGGTTAAAATATCTTTAGTGGTTTTTCTCCTGGCTTCTAATTGAGGAGTAGGATTGATCTGTTGGTACGACTGGAACAACCTGGTCCTCTTCAACAAAGCTTAAGCTGAAATAAAACAGATGAGTCGTGTCTTCCCAGGGTTGTGTAAGCTACACTCATTCAAAGAATTTTTGTAAGAGAATTTATTTCTTAGAAAGATATTTAATGGAAAACCAAACTTTCAGTCCTGCAGAACAGTGTCTCATATAGGACACTGAAATCTCTGTTTTCCTAATAGAATTACTAAATAGACATGTATTTTGTACTTGGCAGTTCCAAATGATGAGTTAAAAATAACTTGGAAGCTGTATTCTCCCTTAATTTCACTGTTAATTAAAAAAAATTAGTAACCTTTTCCTTTTCTTAAGTGACTTTTCTTCCCTTGTTTGTGACCTGAAACTGTCCGTACTTTGGATATTGGATGCATTTGTTTTCCTGTGGAGAAAACTGGAGCAGTTGCAGTTAAAAAAAACCTATAGTGTTCTTAATTATTCATTATATACTTACGCTTAATGCAGCTGTTATTTTCAGAAAGCTAAAACTATGTTTTTTCTTTTAACCAGAAACCGAGTGAGAATAACACCAGAAGGTACAATGGTGAACCTGACAGTACAGAAAGAAATGACACATCCTCCATAATCTTGGAGGTATGAACATTGTATTTACTCCTAGTTTTATGTCACATTCTAACTTTGCTTTCTCAGAAATCCCTAGAAAAGGGCAATACAATAATCAAGGAGAAATAGAATGCAACGTAAAACTTAGAGGTCAAATAAGTTTACTGTTCAGCTAATTTCAGGGGAGAGGGAGATGGAGTTGTCAGAAGGAAGATTACTAGAGCTGTGTAACATTAATTTTTCTTGTTTGTTTTTTTTCTATCAAACCCTCACTGGTTATTTGTGTTAATTCTCATGCTTTTACAGTGTGAATGTTTGGCCATAGAAAGTGATGATTTTTTTTGTTTTTGTTTTTTGTTTGTTTGTTTTTAGCCTAATCGGTTCTTTAGTCCTGATTGTTAGCTAATGCACAGAGTTATGGCAGAAAGAAAGGGAGGAGGGTGGGAATGTATGACCTGTACTGGAACTGCTGCTGATACGTAATCATGGCCGAAGTGATCACAATGAAACTGGTTTTAGCAGTCTCTTCATATAAATGCATAAACTTAAGTACTGTATGGACGGAAACACATTGTATGTTGGTGTTTTATAGTAAATAATGTCCTCCTAAATAAAAAATATTGCAGTAAAATAAGGTAAAGTCACTGGGAATTTTTTTTAGTAAATTCTTTTTATTCATTAACAGCAAAAGTTGAAACCAGACCTGCAGATAGAGCGTGTGCTTGAACAATACAGCTTGCGTTCAAGAGAAGAAGAAAAGAAAAAAGAAGAGATATATTCAGAGAAAAAGATTTTTGAGACAATAAAAACAATTGAGAAAGCATCATCAAAAACAAAGGAGCTAGAGTTCGGTGGAAGAATCGGTATGTGTGCAAATTGTCTTAATAGTTGAAAATTATTACTCTTTTATGTTTTTTGCTTATTGACGATACTGTCATGTCAAGAACTGTTTTTTCCAATTTTTGGATACTTGTTGCAGAATCTGGTCATATGACAGCGCTTCATGTAGTCTGTACTGGTATTGGTGGCAGTCAAAGAACTGTTACTACACTTGGTTCTCTTGTGAAATATAGTGAAGATCTTGAGTCTTCCCTTGCACAGTGAGATTAAAATATTTCCAAATTAGATTTAAGAAGTAACTAGCAAAGTTTTTGTTTTTGTCGTGGTTTAACCCCAGCCAGCAACTAAGCACCACGCAGCTGCTCACTCACTTCCCCCCCACCCCCAAAGTGGGATGGGGGAGAGAATCAGGAAAAGAAGTAAAACTCATGGGTTGAGATGATAACGGTTTAATAGAACAGAAAAGAAGAAACTAGTAACGATAATGATAACACTAATAAAATGACAATAGTAATAATAAAAGGATTGGAATATACAAAACAAGTGATGCACAATGCAGTTGCTCACCACCTGCTGGTCGATGCCTAGCTAGTCCCTGAGCCACAATCCCCCCAGTTTATATACTGGGCATGATGTCACATGGTATGGAATCCCCTGTTGGCCAGTTTGGGTCAGCTGCCCTGGCTGTGTCACCTCCCAACTTCTTGTGCCCCTCCAGCCTTCTTGTTGTCTGGGCATCAGAAGCTGAAAAATCCTTGACTTTAGACTAAACATTACTTAGCAACAACTGAAAACATCAGTGTGTTACCAACATTCTTCTCATACCTAACTCAAAACATAGCACTGTACCAGCTACTAGGAAGACAATTAACTCTATCCCAGCTGAAACCAGGACAGTTTTCAAAACCTAGGTGCTTTGAACTCAACAGTAAAGTATTCTTCATACAGTTTTTTAACAGTTTTAAAGGGTAGCAGTGGGTGTTATCCTTCAGTTTGGTTATATAGCCCCATATGGGAGTGAGAAGTATGTCTCTATCCCATTACATGACTGGGCGATTGCTGCTGTCTTGCTTCAGGAATAGATAATGACAACCTCTTCTTTATTGCTAAAGTTAATATCTAGCTTTATTAGTGGGCTTGAAACTAGTTTTTTATTTTCTGTGTTTATCTTCTAATACAGCATGATGTCTCTTTACAGGGACCTTCATGCTGATATTTTTCCTGCCTGCTACTGTATTCTACTTGCTGTTGATGTGCAAACAAGATGACCCCAGTCTTGTGAACTTCCCCCCTCCTCTCCCAGCACTTGAAAGTCTTTGGGAGGCTAGGGTGTTTGGTGTTTTTCTTCTGTGGTTTTTCCTTCAAGCTCTGTTTTCGTTACTGCCAATTGGAAAGGTAAGCGGTCAGTAGCAATTGGGTCTTTACAGATAATTAATTTGTGCGTTAGGCTTGGAAGGTAGGGTATGTTCTTAATGCAGTTAAGTTGAAAGCAAATGAATTAGTTTTCCATATTAAGCTGGAATATGGCTACTGCAGATTTCTGTAAGCTTAAGATAACACAGTTCGTTAAGAATTTAAAGGCTGTGCATTTCACAGTCTTATAGTAGAAAAGGCAGAAGGCCATATAGGAGTTGAAATCAAAGCATGGATAAAATTTTCTTGGTAGAATTCTAGAAGAATTTCAGGAATCTGACTTTTAAATCGACAAAACTGTTTGATACTCAGTTTCTTATTGATACCCAGTGTTTTGGAATGTAATCTTCACTTAAAGGAAGCTATAAACCATTCTAGCCATATGTATATTGGGCAAATACTCTGTTTCCCTCTTTTTGTAACTTGAGGGATACTGGCAGATTCTGAAAGAACACTCTAATAAATAGATCATTCAGTCATGTTGTTCTATGGTTGGACTCAATGATCTTCAAGGTCCTTTCACCTAAATGATTCTATGGTTCTATTGCTATACATGCTTAGAATTATTGGAGCCATTCTGTTTTCCTGAGGCTGGTTAGGAAGAGATTTTTTTTTTTTTTTAAGTTTTTATTTGAAACTGTTACCCTTTTTCTTTTCATATTGAAAGTATGCTTTTGAGAATAATGCATGATCTTCAGATTTGAATGTGTCCAGCTGGTTACCTTGATTCAGTGTCTTAGTGGCAGTGATGTGCTTGATTTCCCTCCCCTGCCAGTGTCCTTAGAAAGTACTTTGTTGAAACACTAGTATTTTATTCTTTGTAGGTTGTAGAAGGCCTGCCTCTTTCAAATGGAAGGAAACTGCAGTACCGGATAAATGGTAAGCACATTGCAGTTGCTTATTCTGAAACTTGATATCCCTATCTGATTTGCAGTGCTCAGTACCATGAGATACAAGTTATGAAAGATACACTCTATGGTCAAACTAGGTATCTGTTGTAAATCTTTCGTAAAATAGGATGAACCTCTTCTTCGAAGAAGAAGAAGAAGGTTAGTAATGATCAGGAACTTGCCCCAAGAGCAAGACTTTACACTATACGGGGCACCTGGTCTGCATCCAGTTGTGACTGGTGACTTCTGTCCTTTTCCTTGCCTAATTGCTAAACAGGCAGTTGCCTATCGGAAGTGTTAGTAATGCTCATGTAACAAGGGTTGTTGTTCCAGATGTTCAGGAGTGATCTGAAGAGATCTAATCCCATGTGTCTAGATCATCTTGGGATGTCTCTGATTTACAGACTAATAACTAGTAGTGTGTTGTAATTGATTTAAGATGTTCTTATTCTTGCCTGGCAAAAAACAGTTCTGAGTCCTTATTCAGATCTGATTTCACTTCCTATGAATAAGGCAAGTTTCTCATCTAGGTTTAGAGTATGGTTTAATGTATTTCAGCAGTCCTGCTTTTTCAGGCTTAAATAGGAAGTGTACTTTGATGCCTTGCAGGTATTCCAGACTACCTGTTTGATTAATTAGTCAGTTCAAGGACACTGTCTCGTGGTAATGGAATTCAAATGTTATATTACAAAGTTGAGTGGAGTTTTGTCATAGTCTGGTAAGATGCACCATTTTAAAGTTGGAATAGGGCTGTAAATCATAAGAGTGAACCGCATCCTACGGAAGTGAGTCATATTGAGGCTGCCTCCATAACTTTTTTGGTTCTGGACTTCTGTCTTTAGTAGGAGCATAGTCCTGCAATTTTTTTTCTGTATTCTGATAAAGGGAGGAAATAAGCTATGTGATTTGGATGGCTTAAAAAGGAAAAAATAAAAAGGAGGGGTGGGGGGTGGGGGGAAGAAGCCATCTTCTTGCTGCTTGAAAGGCTAATTCTCAAAGCAACTTTGAAAGCCTTCTTGAGGAAAGGAAGACGACCAGTGACAGGACAAGAGGCAATGGACACAAACTGAAAACATCATTCCATTCTACATGATTTTATACTCTCAAAGTACAAAAGTTTTGTGTTCAAGTTTTGACTTGATAGTTATTTCAATACTTTAATTACCGCTATCTCTATTGAGGTATATATGAAGATAATAAAAAAAAGAAAATATGGTTATCTAAACTGTCCCACAGATAAGATTTTGTGATCTGCTATCATTATCCAGGAGTAGTGTCAGTGTCCATTTTTCCACTAAAAGCTGAAATTGGATTGTATGTTGTAAAAAAATGTAGGAGTGCTCAGAGTGTTACTGCCTCTTGTCCTTTTGAGGAGGAGTGCAGGAAATTTCAGGGCATAGATAGAATGTCCTAGGTACATTCCTGTGCCCCAGAAGTTTGAACCTCAGGAGGATGGGATGTGTAAGACGTTATTGGAATATAGACAAATCTTGGAAGAAGTAAAAATGCAGAAAGGCTGGACTGGGTAGGTTCTACTTAGAGTGATCTTTTATTTTGGCTAATATGTTTTTCTTCTCTATCCTTTAGGGTTTTATGCTTTTATTTTGACTGCTGCAGCTATTGGAACTTTATTATATTTTCAATTTGAACTTCATTATTTGTATGATCACTTCATGCAGTTTGCAGTGTCAGCTGCAGCTTTTTCTATGGTGTTGAGTATTTATCTGTATGTTCGGTCCCTGAAAGCACCTGAAGAAGAACTAGCACCAGGTGGAAATTCTGGTGAGTTATAACTATTTTGGATAATTTATTTCCAATTGTTTGGTACAGTTTCATTTTTATGAATTAAAGGCTAGATTTAGGGCTGGTTATTACAACACTATGACTTTCTGTCAATGTAAAATTCATGTTGCAAGTTAAATGGCAATTTCTTGTTCATGCTCAGATACTGTACAATGCTTAAAATCTTGGTTGGATTGTCTTGAATAGCTTACAGAAAATTATCTTGGCTGGTCTAGTCCCCTAGCAATGAGAGGACAGTTCCTTCCTTTCTGTTTTCAGCATTTGTCTAAGAGGCTTGTCTAGTTTGCTTCATAGTGCCCTTCCTGGTGGGCCTTTTCCTGAAACAGCTGGGAATGGAAAGAAAAACTGAAAATCTAGATGTTTTGGCAGTGGGAAGTCAGGTACAGAACTTGAAATTACGGTGTATTTCTAAACTTTTATTTTCCTGTGCACTTTTAAATCTATTAGCTGAATTGAGTTTTCAAAAGAAATTTTGATTCAGTCATGAGACTGCCTACCTAGAAAGTATCAGTTACATGTATATGGTTTTTATAGACTGAGAAGTCAATTAGCATTAAATATTGACCAAACTATTAAAAATGATCATAGGGTGACTAAGAAAGAAAATTTATGGACAGAATATTTAGTGTATTAAAATGAAGTATTCAGATATCCTCAGTTCCTTTGTCAGTGCAGCATGTATGTGTGTGAAGGGCAATAATAAATGATCATAAATTGTTTTTTCTTTGAAGAGTGCAGTTCTGGTCTCTGTAAGTGGCATAGTAGGATTCTGTAACTGTTCTGCAAAGTGCTTGTTATTTGCTAACTTGGTGCAGGATATCTTGAAGTCAAGGTATTGTATTTTCCTTCTGGTCCATCTCTTTCGATGGACAGGTAATTGTCACAGCTAAAGGAATTCTTGCTCCCAGAGAAGAGCAATGAAGTAGGAGAAGAAGTAGAATTAATTAATACCATAAGATCATGTTCACAGAAACTGTGATGTGAGCTTCAGGATAAGGCTGAAAATAAGGAACAAATGCCAAGGAGACATAAGCCTACAGTAACTTCTAAAGTGTTTAGTCCTCCTGATAAATAAAATATTTGGGTCTCTTATATTATAAGCCATGTGGGGTTTGCTTTGTATTTTGCATATACTCTCACATTTTTCTTGCCCATCGAAAGGCTTGTTTTTTTTTTTTTTTCCTATAATGAGAGAACTTTAGTAGAAAGTAGGAACTCCTTTATGGGGAGGAGTGTAGTGGCAGATAAAAGGAAGAGTACTGCTAACAAAGATTGTGTCTTATCTGCAGGGTATCTTGTGTATGATTTTTTTACTGGACATGAATTAAACCCTCGTATTGGCAGTTTTGACCTCAAATACTTTTGTGAATTGCGTCCAGGATTAATTGGCTGGGTGAGTCAGTAATCTTAGTTATTTTATTTGCTTAAATATTACACAAGTTGATTATTTTTTAATATAGATATAAAATTAGTATTAAGGATACAATATGTATTTATAAGCAGGAAAAAAGTACTTACAAACAGTTTTGTGTTGCCAGATTTTTAATGACCATTTTCGTTCACTTTAGGAAAATTTCTACATTCTAGCTTCTTTGCTTTGTGGGAAATGAAAACCTTTCTTAAAGTATTCATATGTTGAGGTTATACAGCTTCAGAAATGTAGTTAGTTGTAAAACTGTGTCTTGTGAAATAGGTTATTTTTAAAACTTAAACGTTGGTCAAAAACATCTGTATTAAAATGTCTGATAGTGTAATAGAGAAGACCACTTTCTTTTACAAGGAAAATTGGTAATAAAATATTTTCTAAACTAGGTTGTTATAAACTTGGCAATGCTTTTGGCTGAGATGAAGATACACAATCAAAGTATGCCATCTCTGTCAATGATACTTGTGAACAGCTTTCAGCTTCTGTATGTGGTGGATGCTCTTTGGAATGAGGTAAATGGCAATCATATTACACTGTTACCATTTCCAATTACAATGTTAAATGAATGAAGCTTTGTAAATTCTAAATTCCTTTCTTCTTGTTGCTAGGAAGCTATTTTGACTACAATGGATATTACCCATGATGGATTTGGATTCATGCTAGCATTTGGAGATTTGGTGTGGGTTCCGTTTGTCTACAGTCTGCAGGCTTTCTATTTAGTTGGTCATCCTACTGTGATTTCTTGGCCTGTTGCTGCTGCAATTACTATTCTGAACTGTAAGTTATAGTAAATGTTATTGTTACTGGTAGTAACAACATAGCACTGATTTTGTTTCTTTGAGTTGTGAGGTGAAGCTTTAGCTAAGATGCAGTGATCGTATTTTCTGTATTACCACAGCTGGTGGAAGCATGTGTCTGACTACTGTTTAATACAGAGAATATAATAAATTTGCATTTTATTAAATGAAGGATAAATGAGACTCTGGACACCCAATCGTTCTGTTGAGAGGCGTCTTTAGATGGATTCTGTCTGGAGTTGCAGAAGTGACTTAAAACATTTTGAATGAAGTGTAGCAGATGCCTTTTGAAGTCAGTCTGAGTGACTGTGAGTGGCTCTTACAAAAAAAAAAAAGCAGTCAATAGCTTGTTGGCTATGCTTTACTGAACCTAGGGAAAAAGAGGTTTTGTTGTTTAACAATTTGCATCTCCTTCCCTGATGCCCATAGTTATATACTCATGTCAACAGAAAACATCTCCTTTTTTCTAGCGGAGTGCTTTGAGAAACGATCTTGCATCTTTAGGGGACCTTAAGTTTGCACCAATATGGATGGCCTTGTAGTTTGTCCCTTTTATCTAAGTAGTAAACCTAAAAGAAAAAGTTTTTTGTAGACATGACAAAGAATTTAAACACTTGGAAAGAATATGAAGGCGTACAACTTGGTATGTGCAATCCTCAGAAATATAGCATATCTTTTTCATGTTTGGTTAATATTTTTTCTTGGTTTTTTTTTTTTTTTAAACATCTTTATTTGAAGTAGGTTGTGATCATGTTTTTTCAATACAGCCTTGGAAAAAGCAAATTTAAGCTGCCTTGTGAAAATGTTGGGGGAAATGAGTTTCAAAACCAGATAATAATTCATTGTCTGGTTCTTTTAATATTGTGAACTTGTAAATAGTTGGTTGGTTTATGGAGTGTAGGCACTGTACTAAAATACTGGGCTGCTAATAGAGCTATAATCTTATAAACTGCAGCACATCGCCTTATATGAATTTCAAACTCAATGTTACATTAATAAACTAGAAGTCAGATATAAATGTAAAAGTAGATGTGAAAACAAAGCTTCTCCAAGATCTTAAACGTTAGTCAGCAGTGTGTAAGAGCATGTGGAACACAGGTTTCCAGTAGTATTTCTATCTTGTTAGAGCTCTGAGAAACGGAGGATATCACTTACATCTCTGAGGAAAAGACTTCAATGTCGTAAGAGTGGTAGAGAGTATGTGAGTTCTTTTGTTGAAAGAAAGAATACTGGAAAATACTGAAAATGCAAAATAAATAATATTTATTTTCAGTTATTGGGTATTACATATTCCGAAGTGCGAATTCTCAGAAAAATAATTTCCGAAGGAATCCATCAGATCCCAAATTGGCCTGTAAGTGCATTTTTTTACTTGTTCGATTGCTGTACAATGTCTCTTTGTACTATTTAAGTACACATTTCAATTGTATTGACTACAATACTGTATTCACAGATCTGAAATTTATACCCACTGCAACTGGAAAAGGGCTTCTTGTCACGGGTTGGTGGGGTTTTGTTCGTCACCCTAATTATCTCGGTGACATTATCATGGCTCTAGCATGGTCCCTACCCTGTGGTAAGTACCTGAAACTAAAGTGATTTTACCAAAAATGCTTGTATGTTTTGTCATCTGACCGGGTTTGAAATGCAAAGTGAAAATTATTTGAGATACTAAAACCTGTAATTAATTGAATGGCAAATTTCTGTGTTGTAAGCTTAATGCGACACTATTTTCTCTTACATCTTATTATTTATATCTTACTATAGATTTGATATACTATAGATTTGACTCTTCTTTCTGACACTTTTATCATTCAGTAACCATGGGGCTTGCTTGCTAATAAGTTGTTCCTTACATTTTTCAGGCTAGTGGCTGTGCTATATAGTGTTTTCAAAGGGAGTTCCCAAAAAGTGGAAGTTTGCATGGAGACAAGGGCTACCACATATAGGGATGGACTTTAAGCAAAATACATCTGGTGGAAAAAAAAAATCATCAAAACAGAAAGGAGTGGAATTCTGTTTCAGAGTTTTTGTTAATGAATACTTCCTAGTTTTCATGAAGTTTACACTTGGAGGAAATTAGGGAGCCTTTTGTCCACTGGGGTTTTGTAGCCGTGATTCTTTGCAAGAGCTTAGAAAGAGCAGTGAGAATTTCAGAAAATACATCTGATCATGGTAGTCCTGCCCCTTCTCATTCAAGTCTGAAAAATGGCTTTGGGCTTTTCCCATGCCTGAAGGAGCTTGTCTTCTATAAAAGCACAGAAATGAGCATGACAGATGTTCTTCTGAGGCCAAGCTACTCCACACCCCATGGCACAGTCTGGCTTTTGCAGACTGGGACACAGGGAGTTTTGGTAGAGTGGGACTTTGTCACCAAGTGCTTAATGCCCTGACCAGGAGCATCAGCTGAGAGAGGGTTTTTTAATTTTATTTTGGATTTTAATTGAAAGTAGACAATACTAGATTAGCTTATTCACTTGTGGACAATATCCTGGAAGACACTTCACCCCATGAAAATGAGGGACTTGAATCCTCTGTCAGCATCGTAATGGCAGAAGTGGAAGTGTTGCTGTAACTGGGCAGGGGACAGGTGGTGAGGATGGGTGAGAGGTGATCATAGAATAGTTTGGGTTGGAAGGGACCTTTAAAGGTCATCTAGTCCAACCCTCCTGCAAGGAGCAGGGCCTTCTTCAGCTAGGTCAGGTTGCTCAGAGCCCCGTCCAACCTGACCTTGAATGTTTCCAGGGATGGGGCATGTACCACCTCTCTGGGCAACCTGTTCCAGTGTCTCACCACCCTCATCGTAAAAAGCTTCTTATATCTAGGCTGAATCTACCCTCTTTTAGTTTAAAAACATTACCCCTTGTCCTATCACTACAGGCCCTATTAAAAATTCTGTCCCCATCTTTTTTACAAGCCCCCTTTAAGTACTGAAAGGCTGCAATAAGGTTTCCCCGGAGCCTTCTCTTCTCTAGGCTGAACAATCCCAACTCTCTCAGCCTTTCCTCATAGGAGAGGTGTTCCATCCCTCTGATCATTTTTGTGTCCCTCCTCTGGACCTGCTCCAACAGGTCCGTGTCTTTCCTGCGCTGAGGACCACAGAGCTGAACGCAGTACTGCAGGTGGGGTCTCACCAGGGTGGAGGAGAGGGGCAGAACCCCCTCCCTCAACCTGCTGGCCACGCTGCTTTTGATGCAGCCCAGGATACAGTTGGCCTTCTGGGCTCTGAGCACACATTGCTGGCTCATGTCCAGCTTTTCATCCACAAGTCAAGTAGTGTGCTCTCAGCAAAGCTAGAGTTACCATCTACAGCCAAAATAGGAAAAAAACTTGCGGGGCTTGTGTGGGGCAACTCAGTGCTGCAGAATTTTAACTATTTCTCTGGTTTTGATAGCTAAAAAACATAAAATATGTGCCAGCTTTGCATGTGTTGAGAGTGAGGTTGGTAGATTTTGAGACTGAATTTTAAGGAATTTTTTTTTTTTGTGGGTCTCTTCCTATCTGCATGTAATGTCACAGAATTTTTGCACTCTCCTGTTGAGTATTTGATGCTTTACAATACGAGTATAAGATGCTTTAGTCCATAACAAGTATATGTCACCAGCTTAGTACGTGTTGCTAATAGCTAACTTTTCTGGATTTTTTTTTTGTTGTTGTTGCTGTATCTAAAGTGACTTTTGCACTTTGTTCTACAGGTTTTAATCACATTTTACCATATTTCTACGTGATATATTTCATCTGCTTGCTTATTCATCGAGAAGCTCGGGATGAACATCATTGTAAGCAAAAATACGGCTTGGCATGGGAAAGGTATTGTCAGCGTGTACCATACCGCATATTTCCTTACATCTACTAGAGTGCTCCAGATGCCTGATTTGCAAATTACTTCTAAAGTTAGTTTCTTTGCAAATAAAAATATACCTCTTACCTTTGCACTTTGTCTATTTGTTATTTAGGCTTTTTTAAAAAAAAAAAAAAGTGACCAAACAGTGGAGTGCATCAACAGGTATTTACAACTAATCTTAAATGTGTGAGTTACATGAACTGACTGTGACTTCAATTTTTTAAAAGATTGTGAATTTTAAAAAGTCTTGGAGCCCTAATTTTTCAAGTTAAATTTTACCTAGAATCCTGAGTTTACATTTTTTTAATTGCTTTTAATTAAGCACTGTGATGTAAAGTATATTTTCTTAATACAATAAATACAGAAATTCCATCTAGTTCATTTTTTGGTGTTACTTGTACCATCTAACTTCAGATGTCTGACTTAGTTGCCTGCATTGGAAGAGCAACAGGGTCTTTTTGGTCAGTGGAGCTGGAAGCAGAGGATTTGATCCACATGAGGGGCCCGTGCTGCTGGCAGTGCTGCCCTGCAGCCCTGGGCCCAGAGCTGCCATGGCTCAGCTGGGTGGTTGTCCCCCTCCTGACTTTTCATTAATGGGATTTTTTTTTTTTTTTTTGGTCAGGGAGGCTCAGATGGCCCCTCCTGCCCTGCGCCTGCAGGATGGATGAAGGGATGGGATTGGGAGGAGAAGTGAAGGGGCACAGCTCTCCCCTCCCATCCCATTCCATCCTCCCATTCTTGAGGCAGTTTCAGCATGAACCAAGGGGGACTCTGAGCTGCTGTCTGGCAGTGCCTCTGACCCTTGAGAGAAGGCACGCTTCTGGCTCAGACTCCTGAAGGTAGATGATACAAACACTTGTTTCAGCTGTGGGCAGAGCTGTGGAAGTGAGCAGTGAACCCTAATCCTGCATCTGGCATTGAACACAGGGTAGCAAAAGGTGCAGTGTATGCATATTTGACAGAAAAGAATAAAATGACCAGAGTTGGCTTATTCTGATCTTTGTAAATTATATCTTAATGTACCATAGCATTTACCAAGTGTGTATAATAAAGCCTCCGTGTTTTTGCTGTACAGTGTTTGGATTTGAAAATGCAATAGCTTTTTTAGAAACAGGAGACATCAGTAACTAAATCCATTTCCAGTAATTTTTTTTAAAATGTTCATTGAATAAAGGTTTTTGTAAATTAATGTATTAATTCTTGAAACAATTGAAGTGTTCATTTAAATATTTGTATTGACAGATATGCTATGAAAATATAGGAAATGCTCCTCAATCCAAAGTTGGGTTTTTTGTTTTTGTTTTTTTTAATTTGGCATTGCTACCTCATATATAGGTTTTGCCTTTTGTACTGTTGCAGACAGAGAAAATAGCTATTTTTTTGCTATTGCTATTTAAAACAACGTTTTTTACATGAGCCTGTGGTTAAACTCAACCACTTTCTAATATATTTTTGTATATATTTGACTTTTTAACTAATGTATGTGTTCTAGTCACTAGTTGTGTTCTTCATCTAACTGGCTGTAAATCAGATGCCCTTGCAGCATTTACTTAATAAGTAGAATAATTTTATATTTTACTGAAACAATCTTGCATTAATTAACTAGCTTTTATTCTGTTATCACAACTGAGAGCTTTTCACATACTTCATACGTGAGGTTTATAGCACAAACTGTCCAAAAAAAGCTTATTAGAATCCTAAGTATAGTGCAGGTACCTCTACACTTGCTTGCAGGAAGGTTCCTAATAAATCGGAATGTTGCTATTATTATCAGTTATTTTCAGTTCTTTTAAAATGTTGATGTAATTGAAATCTAGCATGTGACTTTTTTTTTTAATAAAAGAACCCTCTATTTTGTACACAGGCATTTTTTACAGATAATTGTACATTTGAAGTGTATATAATGTAGCTTGATTGTGACTGTCTCCTCTGAAAATCTGTATGTTGGCGTTGTAAGGAAAATGTTTTAAGACAAGTACTTTGATTCCTGGAAGGAAATAGCAGTGCCTGTAACAACACTGAAGAGCATTTACTCCTGTGAAGTAGCAGATTAAACTGGGATACTTTTTTTTCATTGGTTGCTCAATGGACTAGTGGGAAATGGAGCAATCATTTAACTGTGCCAGTTTGCAGCTGGTGTTTTAAAATGTACTGAAGGGGAGGACAGTTTAACTCCTCAGCCTGTAAACTAGGAGATGCTACTACCATCCCAGTTTTATCTGTTGCCACGCAAAGTTGTTAAAATGCAATTCAGAGCTCTTGTCTTTCAGAAATAGATCTTGACCAGTGATAACTTCAGTTTATTTACATGCTGAGTTTTATGTGAATTTGATTTTGAAGTAATTGTTTTTAATACAAACAAGCCTATAAACTAAAATAAAGCTTTTGCTTAAAATTAAGTAGTGCTTTTTTTTTTTTCCCAATTCATGGGGGTGTCTAAAAAAAAAAAAAAGACAGACATTGATTTATCTTAAGATGTGAGTTTGCTGAAGTTCCTTTTGTATCTGTGGTTGTGGGTTGAGTGTTAAAAGCTCATGTATGCTGCTTCTCTTAGCCTGTCTGGGAATTTTAAGGAAAGGAGGTCTCTCCGTTTAAAAGGAGATCTCCACTTCTCCCTTTTCTTCTGCTTCTTTTTATGCAAAAGTTTACAGATGCACCATCAGCCTGAGAGCACGTTTGTTCTTTGAATCAGCTCTGTTTGTCAGCTACTTTTCTCATTGACCTGGGCTGAAGAAGATCAAAGTCCAGGGAAATAGGTGGCATGGCAGGGGAAGGAAAAGCAGGCTCAAAACCTTAGTGGCTAGTAACTTAAGTTATTATTAAGTTAGGAAATAGTGATTGTCTTTACTGGAAAAGATGGTGGCTTTGGAGAAATGAAATACTCATCATTAAACGTGTCTGAGAATTGTCAGTCACAGAGCTGGCACAGCAGGGCACCTGCTTTTGTGACTCTGTAACAGGGGTCAATCCACCACACGAGCAAGGACAAAGTCAAAGTGAATTGGTAAGCCTGGAGGTGATGGTACCCTGGGCCTTTAGGGAGCCCAGTGAAGTGGGGCAAGGCTAATGCATTACCTTTCTTTGTTCCTCCATTCTGTTGATCCAAAAATAAAATTAATGTTAACTGTAAGAAGACAGAATTAACACTTGTTTTGCCTGTATTATGTTGTATTTTCCCCCACAGCTTCTCTTAGGAGTCAAAACCAAACAACAATTTCACGTAATTGTGGGATACAGCCTCAGGAGTACTGCACAGGTAATAAATTTTGTGCTGATTTGATGTACTGTGAACAAGACTCTAGCGGAAATATGATACGTGACTAAAGAAATAGTAATGATAAATTTGCCTACAGAAGGTTACTTAGTACAGGTAATAAAAACATTACATTTACAATAGCTCATTAAAACCTTACCAGAAGCACAGCTCTTACCTTTAGCAGAGTGAAAGCTGTTTCAGGGAGTGCATGTAAAACCTCTCAAGTGTGTGGGTGGAGAATATCTTGCACTGTCTCTATATAACCAAAAATTCCAACACTGTTTTCTGGTGGGGAAGTTCCCTAAAATTAGAGGAAAATACTTTGATAATGCTTTTACATTTTTAATATTTCATAAAAGCTAAGCACAGGATTATTTTATTTTTTTTAGAATTGTATTTAAAACAGCAGTTCTACCTTTCTGTATATAAAAATATAAGTGATAACTATGTTATGGAGTACCATGAGAAAAGTATTTCCTGCCCCTTCGTGGGTGTGGGGAAACCTTTTGAAGAAAAGACTGAAGTTGCCCAACTGGATTGGTACTCCATCTTCTTTTTTTGTGTATGTGGTTGTCGTATTCACATCCATGTTTCTCCTCAGAAGACTATCCCATGCCACTGTAGCCCCATGTTTCGAGTAATTTTCCTCTTGTACCTTGAGGTAGTTTGTTCTCCTGCCATCTTGAACAGGGATGGTGTCATGGTTTAACCCCAGCCAGCAACTAAGCACCATGCAGCTGCTCTATCATTCCCCTCCTCAACTGGACAGGGCAGAGAAGATACGACAAAAGGCTCGTGGGTTGAGATAAGGACAGGGAGAGATCACTCAGCCCATTACTGTCACAGGCAAAACAGACTTGACTTGGGGAAAATTAATTTATTGCCAATCAAACCATAGTAGGGTAATGAGAAATAAAACCAAATCTTAAAACACCCTCCCCCCCACCCCTCCCTTCTTCCTGGGCACAGCTTCACTCCCGAATTCTCTACCTACCCCCCACCAGCGGTGCAGGGGGACAGGGAATGGGGGTTATGGTCAGTTTGTCACACATCATCTCTGCTGATCCTTCCTCCTCAGGGAGGAGGACTCCTCACTCTTCCCCTGCTCCAGCATGGGGTCCCTCCCATGGGAGACAGCTCTCCACAAACTGCTCCAGCATGGGTCCCTTCCACAGCGTGCAGTCCTTCAGGAGCACGCTGCTCCAGCGTGGGTCCCCCACGGGGTCACAAGTCCTGCCAGAAAACCTGCTCCAACGTGGGCTCCTCTCTCCACAGATCCGCAGGTCCTACCAGGAGCCTGCTCCAGCGTGGGCTTCCCACGGGGTCACAGCCTCCTGCGGGAAGCCACCTGCTCCAGCGTGGGGTCCTCCCTGGACCTGCAGGGGGATATCTGCTCCACCGTGGACCTCCATGGGCTGCAGGGGGACAGCCTGCCTCACCGTTGTCTTCCCCACGGGCTGCAGGGGAATCTCCGCTCCAGCGCCTGGAGCATCTTCTCCCCTCCTTCTGCACTGACCTGGGGGTCTGCAGGGCTGTTTCTCTGACATGTTCTCGCTCCTCTCTCCGGCTGCCGTTTCTGTGCCCCCTGCAACTTTTTTTCCTTCTTAAATATGTCATCCCAGAGGCACTACCGCCATCGCTGATGGGCTCGGCCGTGGCCAGGTCTATCTTGGAGCCGGCTGGGGTTGGCTCTGTCAGAGACAGGGGAAGCTTCCAGCACCTTCTCACAGAAGCCACCCCTGTAGTCCCCCGTCCACCCCCCAGCTACCAAAACCTTGCCACACAGACCCAATATAGATGGGAAATGACACAATCTGTTCGTGGTCACAGGCAGGCGGACTACAGCAAAACCTTTTTATGTCTTTTACAGTGTTGCATATCAAATTACGTACACTTGGTGGAGCAGGTTATTTACTAGTTGCTTTTTTACTTCACAGCATCAGCTCTGCACGTTCACATCAATGTATAGTTCAGTTCCCTTCTCAGCCTCGGCTGAAGAAAGGAAAGCAGAACATGCAGCAGTAATGCCTTAAAGAAGAGCTATTGGATCATAAGCCCATCCTGGGGACCTGTGTGAAATGTAGATGGAGATGACTTGCAGTTGAAAATGGGG